TTTTGGTTTAAAATATAAAATTTAATCAGAACAAACAATAAAAAAGTGCATGTTTATATACAAACAATAAAGTCAATGTACTCAAACCCTGTTAGTTCATGCAATTCAGAAATGGCACAAATTCTGCCTTTACTATGGTGGAATTATCTAGCAATCCTCCTGTAATGCTTATGTGTGGTTTGCAGTAAGGTTGGTCCTTCTCCACTGCCACTACCATACATAGGCACCACGGGCTGCCACCAGTGTGCCTATAAGGAAAGAAAGGGTACAATGGCAACATATACCAATAAGCCAGTGATGCCATTATATGTGATGTCACTTTCCTTTCTCATCCCAGAGTGCACTTGCTCTCCCCAGTTTAACAGTAAGTTTGTAATTTATTCAATTTGTATGTCCTATAATTATGTGTGTTTTTTTATTTATTTTATGCTTGATAAAGACTTGTTTTTAGAAAACGCTGATTTAATCACCAATAAAAGTTGGCTCCCTTAAACTACATGGAGTGTACAGGCATCTCTCTAATTAAATAATATGGTGGGGTAACACTGACCCTGCCTAGTTACACCAAGTTGTGTTTCCTTAGAAGATGCGTGTGCGTTACCCTCTTTGGATTTAATATGGAAAAAAAGGAATGCAGGCCAATAGGAGCACTTCATAAATCATGGCAATCAGACAGCTGATTGTTTTTGTTTTTTTATATTGCCCTGTAATGCTGTGTATATCACTAAGGGGAGAAGCTTGCAATTTCCAAAGCACAAGCAGTGGCACAGAAGCACAATGCAAGTCTAATAAACTGTCTATTACTATAAATAACATAAAACATAAATTACATATCAGTAAAACAATTCTAAATCAGTGACTCAAAGCAATTGTAAGTATCACTGACATCAGAAGCTTAAGAGAATTTTTTTCCTATTTCTTTTTTTTTTTCAATTCACTGAATGATGAGGTGTTCCCGTCCAACCTGTCTCTGATGCTATCTCCTCCTCTACCTAAGAGTGATAGTAGTAGTAGAAGTAGTACAGCAGTAGTGGAAGACAACTCAGCAGAATCAGATGCAGCACCAGTCTTCCTGCTGGTTGCCCTAGTATTTCCTTATTTGGCTTCTCCCTGCAGTAATACAGACTTGTGGTGTCTTTACAGATATTACTTAATACCAGCACTAGTTCAATGGCTTTTTACTCACCCCAATACAATTAATTGCTGCACAATTTGCACTTTGCAAATCTGCATTCTTGGAGGCACTCAAAGTAATGCCAAAATGTGCACATTTGGTTCAATACAGCACCCTCGATCATTTGGCCTGTATCTGCTGATAATTCAGGTGGCTTTGCATCAGAAGCAGTTGAAGCTGTAACAATACTAGGCTGTACACTAACTCTTGGTTAATTAAAGCTAATGGAAATGTTGATGGTGGTGGTATTGATTGTGATGGTAACAATGACAGTGGATGACCTATGTGTGCCACTAGTAGCAGGTGCAGACAATGTTACAACTGTCTATATTGGATTCCAAAAGATGATTCCAAAAGAGATATAGAAGAACTTGGAGATGATGGAGGTGAGTGCACACTAGCTGCTAGAGAAAGTACTGGGCTGCTGCTTGTCCATTTCACACTCTCCTCTTCTAATTGCTCTGGATCACCATTTTAATATAGTCAAATAGCTCATGGGACAGATGTAAAAATGCTATGTGTGTATTGGTGGGGGGAAACAAGAAATATTTTATGTATTACAAATATTATAATATTATTATAATCATCAGATTGATAACCATTACCACCACTACTAACACCAAGACCAAACATTGGGGAAACTACTTTGGTTCTCTGCTCTAACTCTTCACTAAAGAATGGCTCTGATGACACTTACAAAGTAGTTTCTGCAGCTCTCTCCCTAAGTTGCTTCTTGGGGGGGATGTCTAAAAGAAGGTATAATGTTTGCACTAGTTATAGTAGAAGTAGCTGGAGTACCAGTGAAGGCAGCAGTACAAGTTGTTGAAGCATGAAAAGATTGAGGAAAATAACAATTGTCTCTTCTAATTCCACTATGCTAAGGCTGAATACTACTAATGGTGGTGGTGCAGGTGGAGACACGGGTATCAGCAGTCTTCATTGTTGAGGAAGAGGTCTCAGATTCCACAGCACTACTGCTGATGTAGAATGGGAAACAGGACCACTATCCTCCATCAATTATGTCTTGGGGTGAGTACGTGACATTAATAATGGTTGTAATATGGCAGGTAATATGTAAAAATTCTAAAAATCTAAAATCAACAAAAATATAGATTTTAAAACAGAAAAAATAAAAATGAAATAAAAACATATAGACAATTTAAAACAGTATCACACTATCTGTTGTTTTTATGTTTTCTCCTTATGTACTCAGGTTATGAGTACTATGTAAGTTAAGTGTGATTTGTGGTTTGTACACTATAGAAACATTGAAACATAGTATGTGACGGCAGATAAGAACCATTCGGCCCATCTAGTCTGCCCAATTTTCTAAATTCTTTCATTAGTCCCTGGCCTTATCGTATAGTTAGGATAGCCTTACGCCTATCCCACGCATGCTTAAACTCCTTTACTGTGTTAATCTCTACCACTTCAGCTGGAAGGCTATCCCATGCATCCACTACCCTCTCTGTAAAGTAATACTTCCTGGTATTATTTTTAAACCTTTGCCAATCTAATTTAAGACTATGTCCTCTTGTTGTGGTAGTTTTTCTTCTTTTAAATATAGTTTCCTCCTTTACTGTGTTGATTCCCTTTATGTATTTAAATGTTTTTATCATATCCCCCCTATCTCGTCTTTTCTCCAAGCTATACATGTTAAGATCCTTTAACCTTTCCTGGTAAGTTTTATCCTGCAATCCATGAGCCAGTTTAGTAGCCCTCTGAGCTCTCTCTACAGTATCAATATCCTTCTGGAGATATGGTCTCTATTGCAGCATACAATACTCCAAGTGAGGTCTCACCAGTGTTATGTACAATGGCATGAGCACTTCCCTCTTTCTTCTGCTAATATCTCTCCCTATACAACCAATCATTCTGATAGCATTTCCTGCTGCTCTATTACACTGTCTGCTTACCTTTATGTAATCTAAAATAATTACCCCTAAATCCCTTTCCTCAGATTTTGAGGTTAGGACTATATCAAATATTCTGTACTCTGCCCTTAGGCTTTTACATTCAAGATGCATTATCTTGCACTTATCCACATTAAATGTCAGCTGCCACAACTCTAACCAATTTTTTAGTTCACCTAAATCATTTTCCATTTGGCTTATCCCTCCTGGAACATCAATCCTGTTGCATATCTTAGTATCATCAGCAAAAAAAAATATACCTTAATTACACAGGGTTGTGATTTTTATCACACACTTTACTGTTTGCACTTTACTTTGCAATTGCACTTTGGTTATAATTGTGCACTTTGAAACACTATGCACTTTTAATTGTGCACTTTACAATATTGTGATTATTTAACTTTTGGTATATAGTGAATACTTATGTTGGCATTTTCACTCGAGCAATACCAATATCTGCCTTCTAAGAGTCTTATGGTGTTTTCTTCCTTAACAGGACACTCTAGGCACTGTATCTGTGTTATGTCATTAAACTTGTCCGGAGTCCCCTGTTGCAATAATTTCATTTATCATTAAACAGTTTTTAATGTTTTATGTCTTAATGCTTTAATTCCATTCCACTGTCCTTTCTCACCTTGACTACTGAAATCCGCTTCTCAGTGGTCTTACGTGCTCCCAACTAGCGCCGTTACAGTCCATAATGAATGTGGCGGCAAGGCTCATCTTCCTGTCCACCCGCACCTCCCATGCCTCACCCTTCTGTCAATCCCTACACTGGCTTCCTATTAAATATAGAGCTCAATTTAAAATTCTAGTTCTTGCTTTCAAATCGCTACATAATGCTGCTCCCACCTATCTATCCTCCCTTATACACAAGTATGTCCCGTCTAGGCCCTTAGGATCTGCTGAAGACTTACGTCTATCTTCTGTCTGTATTCCCACCTCTGATGCTCGCCTTCAAGATTTCTCAAGGGTTGCACCGTTCCTGTGGAACTCGCTTCCCTCCTCCATTAGATGCTCACCCAGTCTCCATTCCTTCAAAAAATCGTTAAAAACCCACTTCTTCATAAAAGCGTATCACTTAAACTGTTAATAGCTCCTGACTGATTCCTCTTCTGCAACTATCATTAGTCTAATACTATCCCCACCTTTCTGTGTCACTTTACCACACTCCCTCTAGCATGTAAGCTCATTGAGCAGGGCCCTCAACCCCTCTGTTCCTGTGTGTCCAACTTGTCTGGTTACAACTACATGTCTGTTCGTCCACCAATTGTAAAGCGCTGCGGAATTTGACAGCGCTCTATAAATATCATAATAATAATAATAATAATAATAATAATAATATTAATGCTTAATGAGAGTCTCCAGCAGCCCCTTCCCTCTGTGTTGCGTTGGCAAATGAGGAAGTATTAGCCTGAGCAGTAATGGGCAGCTGTGATTGGCTGAAAGTATCAGCTGACTGCATTTAGCCTTTCCAAGCTCCAAATGAAGGATACAACTACAAGGAAGTGTGTAACCTCTGCCTTAGCCACACTTCTAGAAAAGGCCAGACTGCATGTGCACTTATTTAATGTTAAACTACTCTAACATGTTTTAACTCTGAAGGGATAAACAGTATCAAGAGATTCAAGGCACTAGAACCAATTCAAAGAAATTAAATGGCTATAGTGACTACAGCATCTTTTGAATATGTTTTTTCTTTGGAACATGATGCATATATTGGTCATTGCATGCTTCACTTTTAAATATGTTGGGTGGTTTAGGTTTACACTTGTCATGTGAGAAATAATTTCCAGAAGGTAATAACTAGTGATGTCCCGAACGGTTCGCCACGGATGGCGAACATATGCGCTGTTCGGTCCGCCCCCTATTCATCATCATTGAGTAAACTTTGACCCTGTACCTCACAGTCAGCAGACACATTCCAGCCAATCAGCAGCAGACCCTCCCTCCCAGACCCTCCCACCTCCTGGACAGCTCACTAAGAATGCAGCTTCACAATGAATGTAAAATGGATGCTGTCCAGGAGGTGGGAGGGTCTGGGAGGGAGGGTCTGCTGCTGATTGGCTGGGATGTGTCTGCTGACTGTGAGGTACAGGGTCAAAGTTTACTCAATGATGACATAGGGGGCGGACCGAACAGCGCATATGTTCGCCATCCATGGCGAACCGTTCGGCGAACCGTTCGGGACATCACTAGTAATAACACTTTGGTACAGTGATTTTTTTTTTTGTCTATACTACCTATCCTTTTTTTTGTGTGCATTTGTTTCTCTTTACACACTATGATATTATATTGTGATTAACATATTTAATACAGATATAGAGGTAATTGCTTATGTTAATTACTATTTTCATTTTTAAATTTACATTGTGGGTTTATATTAAAAAAAAATATTTTTTTTATTTTCTATTTCATGTAAAATAAAGTTTATTTTTATTACAGAGATTGGTGGTTAGTGTTCTTGCTTTTCTGGTTCACTTATAAATAAAGAATCTTAAAAAGAAACATACAGTACGTGTTTATGTATTTGTGTTGCACTTTTGCCAACAATATTCCTGCCTGAATGACATAAAAAATCAGATTGTTATACCTTACATATCACTCTTATTTTATCACTATATCAGTGGTCTTAAAATATGTTTGAGGAAAAACAGATTAGCTTTTTAGCAGACTCTAACAAGTTATTGATAATACAATAAAACCAAGAGCATCCTATCTATCTTTATTCTGTGAAAATGATGTGATGTGCATGGGGCCACTACTTGAACGATAAGGATTATTAACTATTTGCTGGAAACCTGTGCCAGGTGGTGTCTATTAAGAATACGTAGTGGGAATATAATTCCATGACTGCTGCAAAGGAAGGCAAAATTCGAATGTGCAATATCTTGCATGCTTGCTTGTCTCAGGAAAGGTCAAGGTTTAACAGAGAACCTAATGTTTATGTATTATGTATTATGTCCTTTGTAGTGGTAGACATCAATCATATTGTGGAAATCCGCTCTGCTTCTCAGGTTCAGTAATAAAGGAGATATTGCTTAACCATGTATTTCTATGCATGCTGACTGCAAGAGCAATGTCTTATAATCATGTAGATGTGCAGACTTTAAAAAATAGGTCAGTTTTCAGAAGAAAGAAACTTGACGTCTAACTTAAAACGCTTTTCTAAGACACTCTAAGAGCTAAAGTACCCCCACCTTATTTTAATGCATTAAATAGATGATACAAGTAAATAGGAAATAAATTCAATTAAAAAATGAAGATTGTTATCTTGAAATGTTTCTGCTGCTTGCTCATAAACTTCTATACAAAGCAACGGACAGGCCCTTCCTAGACCAGCCTACAATCAGTAGCCTTTCATTCTGGGGTAGAATTTATTTTTCTTACTCCATAGACCTCTGTTGTTGAGGGAAGGTGTAGAGAAATTTATATTCCTTTCGCACTTACTATACAGTATTTCTTGGGTGGAGGCAACTGGTCCTCCCCCGCGTTTTGGAGTTGCATCATCTTGTGATCTGAGGCATGTAGTAAGGGCCTCAGTGCTGCCACCTTATTTAATAGTTGTTTATTACTTATTGTTATTCATTTGTCACTTTCAAACTATGTATGTTTTTAATTGCCATTAAGGCAACCAGGGATGGTACCACATCTGATCTGTTACTTGTGTCTCATTGGTTCATCCTAGGGGGTTTGGGGAAGCTTCTGTGCGTGGAGGATGGGTTGTTTAGTTATCTAGCTACACTAACTACAATTAGAGATCTACTCCTTATGGGATAGGTAGTTTAGTCAGCAGTCATAATTATTTTGCAATCGGCCTACTCATATCCATGTTCCCATTCTTGTGAAAGGAGCTGCATGCTGCAAGTTCCTGAGCAGAGACAACTTGGAGTGAGATGCCCAACATGCACATACTGTAAAGACAAGTTAGGGAGGTCTTTTAATTAACAACCTTTGTATCACCTTGATGGGGCATTTTATTATATTGTACATTACAAATGTTAGCTGTGTTCTTGTTTCTATCCACATTTCTTGTTAAACAAACCAAGATGAAACTTGCCGACAGAGAAAATACACAAAAATGTTCTGTGTTACAGCTGTACCCTAAACACTTTATTGATGACTTAAAAAAAAAAAAAAGAGTTAGAGAGGTCCTTGATGGCAAATGAGTGGCTACAATTACCAGTTACTGTTTTTGAGTAAATGGGGAATTTCTAAATGAACCCTATAAAATAAGTTTTGAGGATTTCATCTGGCAATTCCCTGATTAGCAGTGGATTGATAGAGTTCTCAATAAATGCTTATTTTAGGGATTAAATATATGCTTTATTGAGCCAAGGTATTCGTTGCGAGGTAAAATATAATCTAGGACATGCTCTCACTGAGATACCAAATGCGAAACTCAAGTCCAATTAAGTCAGTGTAGTATGTGAAAAAGTATCTGAGATTTTATTTACTAATCACAATATTAAATTGTTAACCATATTGCATAATTTAGGCTTTAAATAGCCAAACTATGACTCTATCTGAGTTGGAGAATGTTTACATCTTCTTTTTGTAATTTGAGTTTCAATTTCCTACCATTCGGTATTTAGGCTATCTGTATCTCCATACTGATTCATGTAAAAAATGGACTCATTGAGTACTGTTAAATTGGGTAATAGTAACATCCCCTGGATGTTGGGCAAAAGTAACATCCCTTGGATGTACTTGGAAACCAGAATAATCTGAATGTACTTTTCCTGGTTAAATACTTTGCTATTTTTATTCTCCTATATTTTCTAAAAGTGTTTAGTAATCCTTGCTAAATATTAATTAGTGTATAGTGTGATTGCCTGGTATCCTCTTTTCTGTGCAAGGTGCATTAGTAGGTCTTTAGAAATCAGAATACATTCAACGGTAACCAACGCTACCTTAACCATTCTTTTTAGTTTGTGTTTTTGTCTTGCATTATGCCCTTTCATTCAATGTATGCTTTTTTGGTATTGTTTATCTTATTACTCTTAAGCATTGTCATTTTATTACCATTGTTAGTAATCCACTAGGAGATTTTAATATATTATTTTCTCTGTTGTTTTATTGCTGGAAACAATGATTTTAAATTGAATAGATCACAGAACTAACAATGGTTCACTAACGTATGATGCCATAGCTTCAAATGGTCATGGGACAGTCACATACAAATAAGAGGTTTAGCAACTGAACAATATTAGTCAGTCAAGGCTTGTTTATCACCTGATAAATGACAAAAGATCTATATGGTTAATTGCCAGAAAATTATATTTTCAAGCAAAAGACTAAATTTGTTTTCAGCCATGACTGGCTCAAGTTTGACAGTCTTGTGAGTTGTAAATAACAGTGATATGCTAATACCTTCTTGGAACAAACCAAACTAACACATTGCTGTTTAAGTATAACAGGCATGTTGTAACAGACCATTTTGTACACAAGGGGTGAAAACCGCTTAGACGATAATCCCCTTTCAGAGACAGGCACAGCTACTGTAGAATCACCAAAACTCACGAATTGAATACAAGTGAATGCACCAAACACCCGAACTGCATACAAGGGAATGCTCCAAACACCCGAACTGCATACAAGGGAATGCTCCAAACACCCGAACTGCATACAAGGGAATGCTCCAAACACTCAAACTGGAACCACGAATAGCTGCTAGCAGACGAACAGGAAAAGCACCCAAGCGGCTTACACTCCTGGCAATCAGTCTCTATCAGCATACAGTAAATCCCCCCAAAGACGAGACAGAGCTCCGTGTTGAGGGTCAAGCAGTGGTCTGTTTAATGAGGGCTACCTCCCAGTATTTATGCAGGTCTCCCACCTGGTGGACACTCCCCTAGGGGACCAGATGGAAGACTGTAACAAAAGACAGACATGTACCAATTACAGACATACAGAAGTAAAACATCCCCACAATGCATCCTGGCTTCCTCCCCTCTGCCCTGGAGAAGTAATTCAATTATCTCCCAGGACAAAGGCAAAACTCCATTACACATGTGAGGACACAAAACCAGTATTATACTTTAAAATACATAAAGTAACATTTATTACATAAAACACAGACATGTAACATATCCTCAGATAGCTCAGGTCTGAGCGCACATTATTAAGCGAATGGCGCTCAGACCACACAAATACAGTTTAATCGCCAAAGTCTTTACAGTCAGTTTCATACGAATGGGCTCCATGGGATTCCTATCTGGGGTATAACACATTCAAACAAAACTACTGAACACCGGGTCGTTTGTGCACTTCCACCGAACAGGAAGGGAGGTCGGCGGCTTCAGCGGTGTTCGCGCAAAACTGTGTCCGATTTTAGTTCCATGAAAATAGGGGCGAACACCACTGTGCATTCGCATGCTTAAAATGGCCACGACCTCGTGTTCGGGATACGAATGGTGGCCACCCAGCATTCGTCAATTAAGCTGCGGTTAACCACAGCTTCAGGGGGGTTAATTGCCGGCACACTCCAGCTCCCAGGTGGTCTATTCATTCGTGCGGTTGTTCGGTAGATTGAATCTACCGAACAACCGGCAGAAAAGCACGAATACAGCTTTTCTGCAGGCAAAATAAAGTCTTTTAAAAGGGGGCCATAGTCCAGAGGCAGCAGACGAGCAACCAGGCTTCTCCAATGCAATGTGGCGAGATTGGTCTCGTCACACATGTGTAAACAGACCTATTTTTAGAGTAATGAATCTACATAATCATAGAAAAATATAGTGCATGGTGTAACTGGGAAAAGATGGAGGTTTCATAGTGTAACTAAGCAAATGCATGTCAAAATAGAGAAATACATTTTTTTTTTCCTTAGGCCCTTTCAGTTTCACTTTTGTGAAAGTTGGGTCAAGTGTTGTCCTCACTCTGGTGTCCTGGTGGCAAGGTGTGCATTGGACAACATTGTCTACTAAACTCACATGTGGACATAAAACATTCAGTAACACATATATTTCAAAACATTTTATTATTAAAACATTTCTAAATATCCTCTACACTGTAATTAATTGCAAGTAAGAGTATATTTAATACATGTGAATATCAGCAATATTATGGGTTTATGTTTAAGG